TTTTTTTTTTTTTTTCTATTTCAGTGGTAAATTTAACAGTCATTGATCTTCCCGGGTTGACAAAGGTAGCTGTTGGTGAGCATCGTACTGTTACTTTCATACATAAGAATAACTCCCCTGTTGGTGACTTGTTCTTGAAAATTTGAGAGAGAATGATCGGTTGCTCACAAACTTTAACTGTCTCAGAGGGACAGCCAGAGAGTATTGTTGAAGATATTGAAATGATGGTCCGGTCTTATGTTGAAAAGGTACAAGCACCACTTTTACTCTGAACACATGTTGTGAGCACTACGACATTAGCTGTTGCAGTTATTCATTTTGTCTAATGTTCTTCTTTGAACTATACATAAACAGCTGAAAAGTGGATGGCCATACTTATAAACTATTGTCTCCAGTTACTAGTTATTCCTTGTACAGAATTGCAGTTAGACTGCAAATTAGAACTTGAAACAGTTTTCTGGGGGCTCAATGTTCCAAACACATCGAATATCTGAATTGAAGGTTTTTGTGCGGCTGGAGGCAGTAGCGTTTTGATGGGAATGTCGTCAGTCATTACGCCATTTTAAAGACTTATTCTGTTGAGAGATGATGAGTTACTTTATGTTGGATAACAGAACTGATGTATTCTGAAGGACCTGAGTAGCTTGTTACTTGGGGTCTTGAGCTTTGTGAAAGTTTCCGGTCCTTTAATATTGTGCTCACATTTATGATTCTCTCTCTTTCTTCCTCTCTGTGTGTAATAATTTAACCTGGGTTATGGTCAGAACTCTCAGTATTGGTGCTCTTTCTGAAATGTGTTCCGCATAGGATTGCTGGGATTTAAAAAAGTTCTTAGTCCTGTGATCTTATTTTCACATTTTTGCTTTCACAAGAGACCAATTTACAATATTGCTTGTAATGCTGGAGTTAACTTGCTTAATGGGGTTATTGTAATTTGCTTAAGTTTAGCAGTCTTGGAAAGGTGCTTGTCAGCACCTAAATTCTTTCTCCCTTCTTTCTCATCTTCCTCTTCTGTTCACATCACAGCCAAATTGCATTATTTTGGCCATCTCTCCTGCTAATCAAGACATAGCAACTTCAGATGCTATAAAGCTTGCCAGGGAAGTTGACCCAACAGGTGCCACTTAATAGCAGCTAGTTATATTCCTTTTTGTTTGTCTCTGTGGGTAGTAGTGTTCCTTGTTTTAAGATCCAACTGAATTTATTTTTATTATTTTTAGGTGAAAGGACATTCGGAGTGTTGACTAAACTTGATTTAATGGATAAAGGGACGAATGCACTTGACGTATGAGCCTTCTTCAGTTTTTATATTTATTTGATTTTTTTTTTATGTTTTATTTTTGTGTGTTTCCTTTTCATTGATTGAAGGACACACAATATAGCTTTTATACCCGTACATAATTGATTTGATATACATAAATTGATTCTTTCTATCAGTTTCCTTCCCTCCGCAATTTTCAAAATTAGTATCATTTACCTTTATATCTGTTGCTCCTGAAGGTACTTGAAGGCAGAGCGTACAGGCTCATGCATCCATGGGTTGGAATTGTGAATCGCTCTCAAGCTGATATCAACAAGAATGTTAACATGATTTCTGCTCGTCAGAAGGAGAGGGAATATTTTGAGTCCAGCCCAGAGTATGGTCATCTTGCTCATAAAATGGGTTCCGAGTATCTGGCAAAACTTCTTTCGCAGGCATGTAAATCCTCCTTTAGAATCTGAATTCAAATTGGCCTTCTAAAGTTAATAGTTCTTTTTGGTGACTTTTAACAACTTCTATCTTCCTTTGACATGCAATAGCATCTGGAGAAGGTCATTAGGCAGCGAATTCCCAGCATTATTGCCTTAATAAATAAGACTATTGATGAGCTTAATGCGGAATTGGACCGTATTGGTAGGCCCATTGCTGTGGATGGAGGGGTAATTGCAGAACTCACATAAACTGATGTTAGTCAAATGAGATCATTTGTACTGTATGCATGCCGAAGTGTTTGACCTTGATGTGCAGGCGCAGCTGTATACAATTCTGGAAATGTGTCGCGCATTTGATCGCATTTTCAAGGAACATCTGGATGGAGGGTAATGATCATTATCTACCCAGGGTTTCTTGTGTGTATATTTCTAAGTAAAGGATTTGAATGATTTTATATCCAAAATTCCCTTCTATGCAAGATAACAATTCAATTTTATTGCAAATCATCCTGTATTCCGTGAAGTTTTCAGACAGTTACTTATCAAAACATACTAATTTCCAAATCAACTTAGAATCTTATTTTCACTCATCGATCAAGCAAAAAATGACTGATCATAAAAAAAAAACCCAATACAAATTATTATTTTCCGTACCTAATATAGGTAAATGTTTAGTAAGATCATAATATTGCCTGAAGTGTGTTGGTCAAACTAGTTAATGTATTTGTTGAATGTAACATTAGGGTCTCAAGTCTCTACCTTCTTTTTTTAGGATTTAGTATGGTTCTACTTGTCTTCTTCACAAGGCAACGCGTCAAAGTTTGTTGCTAATCTTTAGACTTATGTTTTACCTAGGATGCTCATATGCTTTGGTTGCATAGTTGTTAATGTAAATGTACTAGGTATTATCAATTTGCCAGTAGAGTAGTATGCTTTTGACAAAAGATAAATTTACTCTCCCGAATATTTGGTGGAACCTCAAGTGGTTCATATGACCTTGAAACCTGACACTTCGTTGTATCAGTTCAGACTTGTCTGACATGTTTGATGACTGCTCAGTGATTGTCAATAATTTATAGAGAGCTACCTGAATATTTTCTATTTTTTTCATTGTCTGGCAGAACTTCCATTGTGCCACTTCTCTGTAGATTTAGTTTCTAATTCCACGACAGTGGACAGGTATAAAAAGATCCAGCACTGTGTGTTAGTGTAATATATCCGGATGCCCTGACCTTGTAGTCAGTATGCAATAAATGAGTAATTGGTTAAATATCATATCAAAGTCAAGTATTAGATTTTTTAGTTCTCTCATCTATATGTTCTCAGCTAGAGATATATTAAATTATGATTTGTTAATTTAAATGGTTTAACTATGATAATTACTTCGAACCTGGAAACACAGTTACTAGCTGAGGTTCAAAGATATTACCAATTCCTTCGTACAGATATTGGAGTATGTTGTGACGCAACAAGTTATTTTCGCAGGAGGCCAGGAGGAGACAAGATATATGGTGTTTTTGATCACCAATTACCTGCCGCTCTAAAGAAGCTTCCATTTGATCGCCACCTCTCTCAAAGTAATGTCAAAAAAGTTATTTCAGAAGCAGATGGGTATCAGCCTCACTTGATTGCCCCAGAACAAGGATACAGAAGACTAATTGATGGATCACTTGGCTACTTCAAGGGGCCTGCTGAAGCTTCAGTTGATGCGGTAACATCTTTATTATCTTGGCTAATGAGACTGCTTAAATCTTGGTTTTGTGATGACAAATTTATTTCAGACACTTAAAGCAACACAATACAAAATCATGTTACTGATGCCTTTACATTTTTCTCACGTTTTTTGTATGATGATCATTCTATGAAAGGTTGAATTGACGTCTTTGTTAATCATTGGTACATCACGCCTTATACTATTAGTTTACTGGTAGCTTTATGTATCTAGATATGTTTACTTGGTCACAAGTTTCCAGCTTGATTATGTGTTTCAACTGTGCTTCACTTTGTCTGTTTTGTACAATGCATAGTGAGCTTGCTAGTTGTTTTATAGACTTTATATAGTCGAAGATTTTCTGTAATTTAAAATTTAGACCCAGTATATTTGATACTTTGGTCTTTCTGTTGATTTTAAGATAACATATATTTTATATGGTTAAGGTAATTCGGAGCTCACTTTATTGAGATTTTCCGTTGATCTTTGGGCTAAATACGTTGGTACTGCCTTTAGATATCAGATTTTCAACTTGTCCATGACAGTAGCGTTTCCAGCCTCATTTGATGTTTTAAACATTCTTATGGCCGTAAACAGAGAAGGTAGTCTTTTATAGCTCTGATATGATATGAGAACTTTTTGATGTTGGTACTTAGGTATGTCTGCATAACTGAGTAATTGACTAGTCAATTATTTTGTATTAACACTTTGACGAATACTACATTTCTGGCCTTCACATGAGAACTTGCATTTGCCTAGCTGAAAAATTTTGCTGTATGCATTGCATCCTTCGCGTTAACACAGCTTTTAGGTTAGTACTGATGAAGTGGTGCATTTGAAAGGGACCAACAGCCATTGGGGTAAAATATTTTCATATAACTGAGACAGAAGATATTTTTTTACGTGAACTCTTACATGGAAGATCTATTAGGCTGATATTCTTATTTACTAAATTGCTTAGGAATTGAAAAACTGAGAGAAGCATGAACATTCCTCCAAATCAGAGAGGAAAAGGAGAAAGAACAAAAGAAATTTGATTATTGCTATCTAGTAGGAAACCAAATATTATTTGATGACTGGCTGAAAAGCTTTCTTACAATAGTAATGGAACAATGAAAGACTTTTGAAGAAAAGTTCGTACTAAAATTATCCATTGAAAGCATAAGATCGGATTCCCACTAATCATTGAGATCCTTTTGAGCAAGTCAAGCAACTAGGGAATGATAACTTTATACTAAATTAGTATTTACATCCTTATGGCGATGAATTTCTTATTTCTTTTCTCACGGTCTACCCAAGCTAGGTTGCACCTATAGTCAGCTTTTTTTCAGGTAATGCATGGACATGAATTTTATGAAGCTAGAAAAGTTGCTCCATTTGTAATTTGGTAATGAGGAAACTCTAAATCCAGACAACTACACTTCTGACATGACAAGAAAATTGTGTGTTTTTGGTTCAGATTACAATTTTATGGATTAATTTGACTGGTTTGGTTGTATCTTTAATATTATTGAAATTAATGTTTGTATATGAATTTAATGGATTTTTATAGGTACACTTCGTTTTGAAAGAACTTGTGAGGAAGTCTATTGCAGAAACTGAGGTAAACAACTTTGACTAGTAGAACTCTTCTCCAAATTCAAAAGTTTTGATGTGCATCATTATTTTATATGGTGCGATACACATGCTTTCTAAATGAGAGGTTTCTTATTGAAGCACGCTTGAACTGAACTACATGACTACCAGCTGTTTATGAACTGCACTACATGACCTCCAACTGTATATGATGTTTACACGATTTGTTGGATTTTTTTTTCTTTACTTTTTCTTTTTGCGTACAAGCCTCAAGGCAAGTTATCTCATAGAATAAATAAAACTATATGTTATTTTGAGTAGAATTGTGGATTAAACTAACATGAAGCTAATGGACAAAGTTATGTTTTTCTTTACCTGATAAGTTGGATTACCAGATTTATCTTTAAATTTGTTTTCTATATATTTTCCTTTACTTGGTATGTCAGGTTACGAGATGTCTCCACACATATTTAGTCTATATATACACGGAAAGAAAAGGTAGAGAAATTTATACACGGAAAGAAAAGGTAGAGAAATTTGTATTAGCAAAGTTGGAAAACTGAAAAGAAGGTACATGTTATAGGAAGCTGAACAAATTCAATCTAGGTGATTTTCAGGATTTCCTCTGAAGCTGGTCAAGCTACTGCAATACTACGATATTGCCCTAATATTTGTGCTGAAAGATTTGGATTTTCTTTTCAAGTACAATAATTATGAATTTGACCCAAGAAGGTCCACTAGAGCATCTTAGCCTGAGAAATGCTGAGATTCACTTCTTACACTGCATTACACACAAAAACAATTATCCAGAAACATTGACACCATCAGAAATTAAAGGTGATATGATTGTGGGCCATTGTCCATACAGGAATTGAAACGATTCCCAACACTTCAGTCTGATATAGCAGCAGCGGCAAATGAAGCACTGGAAAAGTTTCGTGATGAGAGTCGTAGGGCAGTTCTACGGCTGGTGGAAATGGAGTCTGCTTACCTAACAGTTGACTTTTTCAGGAAACTTAACACTGAACCAGAGAAAACAGCAAATCCTGCTGGCCCAAACGCTGATCGTTACACTGACAATCATCTTAGGAGAATCGGTATATATCCCATTTTGTGCATACTTTTCCACATGTAGCTCTAATTCTTGTTTGGTAGGATTACCAAAAGTACCCTTGACTCTTTGAGGTTTTAGCCTAATTATAAAAAAAACCAATAACGTCCATAATGAGAAAATGTCCCTTAGGTTTGGTTCAATGTTAAAATCAAGGACCTAATAGTAATATCTTTATGATTGCGTAGGGGAATTTTGGAATGATTTTTGCTTATCAATGGAGTAAATGTGAACAATAAAACCTTGGATGTACGCTTCGTAATTATAAAGAAGTACGTAAAAGTTTAAGGGTCTTTGTTGTTTGAGTGTAAATGAATTTCCAAAGTGTTTCTAGCCATCCCACCTGTGACATGTTAAGTCAGTGAATCGGTGTTTCTGAAGTGTTTTACAAAATGTGAACATGGGCAGTATTTATAGTTCAGTTGTTTATATGTGGTAGTTGTAGTTGGTTTGACCTTTGCGGCTTGGTAACAGGTACAAATGTGTCTGCTTACATTAGTATGGTTTGCGATACCATGAGGAATAGTATTCCCAAGGCTGTTGTTCATTGTCAAGTTCGAGAGGCTAAGCGATCACTGCTAAATATTTTCTATGCACAAATTGGAAGAAGGGAGGTAAGTTTGCTTGCCATTGTTATCTACAAAATAATTAGGGTTAGTTACAAATTACCACTGAGATTTACTATCTTCGACAATTACAAAGACCTGAAACATTAAATCTTTACCAAAGTGCATCTTGAAGAGTGGTTGGAAACATGGTAATTATAACTCCCGAGGGATTGGTACAACTTTGAAACATAAGTAAGTAGGTCTCTATAATTGGACAAAAGTCGGAAATCTTTTTCGACATATCACTTATTATAATGCTTTAATATCTTTATGAACCCAAAAAAGAAAAAGAAAAATTATGAAACTGAAATGCAACATGCAGAAAGAGCAACTTGGTAAAATGCTGGATGAAGATCCATCACTTATGGCAAAGAGGGAGACCTTAGCCAAGAGGCTCGAACTGTACAAGTCAGCACGTGATGAGATCGACTCGGTTGCATGGAAATGATGAACAACTACTCACCTTATATCAGTTCTGTTGTTTTTCCACTTTACGAGGTAAATAACCATCTTAAGTCGGTGGCATATTCTTTATGCACTTGGATGGTGGGAGTGCACACGAGCTGCCTTCAGAAGTGCTTTCACTAACGTTGCCTATTCTTTAGTTAAGCTTTTTTTTTTTTTGGCTGGATTTGTTTAGAAAAAGGATGTCTATATGGGATTTCTTGATTATGGATCATTAGCCAATGAACTTTGACATTTTGGCAATATAGGTAACCTGGGAATGGTTTTGATTTGTCCTGGTTGTTTCAAGATCAGACCTGCTCTTGGGCATGGTTTTATGAATGCTATAATTTTGGCGAAATTTCATCTGTGATTTGGAATTAATTGTAACTAGTACAATACCCATGTATAACATGAGTGTTGAGTTAAGAAATATATGATTAAAGTTATTGATGTCTAATACCAAACCTAACTCCAGAGCAAAAATAATATAAAAACAACATTACGAAACATAGATTTTTGCCATGTCAATATCCGAAGCGTAAGAAGTTGCCACTTAGGCTCAACACGTTTTGAATTAATATATATGGAGAGATTGTACGATGGAGCAAATTTTAATTGTATCTTTTCAAATTACATGGCATTTAATTCTAAAGGTGCAAGACATCAATTACCAAAACAAATGCAACGCTCCCTTAAATTACGCAGGTTATGAGATTTTAAAATATTTTATATGGTAAGGTTATATATCATACAAATTATGATGTTGTGTCAATACAAAATAGAAAGAGAATGAATTTGAATTTCAAACTATATCATCTTCCAGTTATATACAAACCACTCGATCGTGAATATTAGTCCATGTTGATGAACAAACTTTGAAAAATATATGAATCAAACTGGTAATTTTTGTTTATTGAATATATACTTGGCACATATTGAACATAAAACATACAGTTGAAAGTGACAAAACGACAAAACAACATGTTGTAAACTTATATATACAATATATTGAATGTATACATAACATATCATATACATATACTGGACGTAATATATTTTGTAAAGGGAGAAAACCAGTCTGTTGTGAAACATATCTTTGTTTAATGAATATATATTTGACATATAATGAACATAAATCATATAGTTGAAACTCAGCATGTTGTGAACTTATACATAACATATACTAAACTTATATACATATACATATCATATACTGAGACGCGAATTCGATCCCCTATGAGGAGAATTTTCGACGCCCCTGTAAGGACTTTGTCCGATTTTGGTTATTTTCCATGGTTTGTTTTGCTTGAAGGTTAGAGTTTGCGGTTACGAGGAAATGTATTGACTTGATGGATGGTTAATGAGTTATGAGAGAGAGATTTTCTTACCATAAAAATAAGGATTCAGTTTTTAGAAACTGATACATTTCCCTATAAATTTAGGTAATTGATGTTTGAATTAGTCAGTAAGGCGCGGGTGAAGCTTTAACTTCATCATCTGGTCAACATGAGGTACTCCCTCTCATACAATAATTTTTCTAGTACATCTGCAAATAACAAAAAGATTGTTGGCTATAATGCTAATATTTACAAAAACTGTTTAATTGTACAATGAAATGTGAAATGTCTAGTGTAATGGGTAATTTCCTCAATAATTTTTTTCCCGATAGCTTGTTGTACCCATTGATGAGTTAACCAATTAGTGAGGCTAATGTGAGGAACAACAGGAGTGATAAACTAGATCACATCAGCGGAAATTCCAAAACCCTAGGCGCATATATGAAGACCCAATGGAGCAAGTCCTCTTGCTGATCTCAAACCAAGAAATATCTCATTCACGACTAAGGTCACCATGTCACGGAAGACCGATATTTTTACATCACACTGACAATAGAGGTGTATCTTCTTTTAAGTGGATCTCGCTACTCAGTGTGAAAAGGATTGTCGCTCATAATCAATTTGCACCTCCCCAATAATCAACCATTTGAGCAAGTGGCCTTGCCATGTGTTGTCTTGCATGTGTCAGACCTTGAAGCCTGCCACGTGTCCCGAGAGTAATTATTTTTTATTCTTTTCACCATCTAGAAATAGTCATACCTTGAATTAAAAAAGATCATTAAAATTTGAAAAAAAAACTCCTCATGCTATTCAGAGCGATAAACATACAAGTGTATTAACGCAAATATTTAAACATGTTTGTCTTGTTGTCCTTAAATTTCCTTTAGCACTGCTATGTCGCAGTCTTGTTGGTGTCAACCGTCAACAAATTTGCACTAGAAGGAGGTTGAACCTTCGATTGTCGGTTTTTAATTAATGTCGTTATGATATCTTAACTCCAGATTAGTCCATTATGTCGTCATTAAATAATAATAATAAAAAACACTAACAACCACCCACAAAATTACCCCTCTGCATCCATAACTCCTCTTCCAAAAATCCCACTCGTCATCCCAAAACCATACACAAAAACGACGACTCCCCAATTGTCTGTTGCGCCCGTCTTCGGGTGTTGTAGTAAATTGTTATTTTTACCAAGTACCGAATCGAAAGATTCGTTTCCGGGTCGATCTCACGAGGAAGGCGGTTAAGAATTTGGCTTTGATGTTGATAGCACATAAAAAGAAAATAAAACCTAAACATACTAATCACGATAGAGTCTGGATGAATTATTAACTAGGAAAAAAAAATCTACCTAAAAATATAAACGAAACAAAGATGGAGAAGCTAGAGAATCGGGGACAATTAACTCAAATTCTATTTGCACACTGGGACATTAATCATTCTATTATAGATTGACGCTCTCGCTCAAACATCTAGCGGTTCGCTCCCAATAAGTTTTTGTAAGAAGGGACTGAATATAGACGAACAAACCCGAGCATAGGACACAGGCCAAGTATCCCAATCCCAATAACTTTTCGTAACAAGGGACGGGTCATCGACAATCACGTAAATCCAAAACCTATAGAATATTCAATTACAAAAGCATCTACCTCATGCGAGCCTAGGTCTACGACTTCTCCCCTTTCGGTTCTAAAAGCCTCTAATTTAATTAGAAGGTGTTTAATCAACTAATCACATAGAATCAACAAAAACCTAACTCGACTAATCAATAATCGTCACCAATTGCAAGATCGAAGTGTGACTCTTCGATTATATCAATCAATCAAGCAGGAATACATCAATCCCTAATCAAATTAACTCGTACAAGAACGAACAAATCAAGCCCGACAAAATACAATTAGACAAGGACAACCATCCCCTATCCCTAGCAATCAGAATTAGCTACGTATATCGAACTCAAAACCCATAATCATTCTTCTCAAATCAACCATTATTCATGAATTAAATAAGAGAAAAAAATTCTTACAGTTAATCTCAATCCAGGTGTTTGAATCCCAAATACAAGCTTAATCCTTGACAATAATAATAAAAAGAAGAAGAAAAATGGCAAAGATTAAGAGAAGAAGAAGGAATGAAAAAGAAGAAGAGAGGAAGAGAAAAGGAGTTTCGTGATTTTTTCCTCGGGCTCGAGTTCGTCCCCAGAAGGGGAGAATTATCTCATTGAAATCCCGTACGCATGTATATATATGATAGGGTGACATGGCGTGAGCTTTTGTGGCACGCCGCGAGAGAAGCTTGCTCTATGGCGTGAAAGGTACAGCGCGGGCGCGGAGGATCGATCTGGCACGGCGTGACAGGGCCTCGCGGCGCGAGAACGTTTGTCGCGGCGCGGCATAGCTACACGACGCGGGGGAAGGGTCTGGCACGACGAGGCACTGCTCACTGCGCGAGAGAAGGGTCTGCCGCGACACGGCACTACTCACGGCGCGAGGGAAGGGTCTGCTACGCTCTCTGTATGTCTCGCGGCATGTGGCGCGGCGCGGCACGCGCAAGGCGCTGGGCCTGGGGTCATGGCTTCCGTGCACGATTTCGTGTCTCCGCTCGTTTGGACTCGTCCGAACTCGGAATCGAGTTCTGATTTTTCCTGCTTGTTTCCATTGAAACCGTTTACTTAATTATGCTTGCACGGTCAATTTTTGCCCAAAATTCGGTTCTCTTGAGGCTTTTGACCTGCACACTAAAAACGAAAGAAAACCAAAAAATAACCAAAAAAACATAGAAAGACTCTCAATAGATGAAAACACGCAATAAACAACAAAACGAACTAAAAACCAACTAAAAGACCTAATATGGAGGAAAAGGGAAAAGAAAGAAGAAATAATCGCGAAAAACACAACAAAAATGGAACAAACAACTCCCCCACACTTAAACCCTTGTTCGTCCCAATCAAAAAGAAAGGAAAACAAGACACGAGCATGGATAAAGTTCAAATAGGAAGATCCTCAAAATGCCTAACTCAGTCGAGTCGAATTCTAACGACCGTACGACCATATGCCTCAAATAACAACTTGGCTTTGAAATAACAAACTCTCAAACACATAGACTGTAATATAAGCCTCACTCATTTTCTTACATGCATGTGTGATAGGTTCGCTCAAAATTGATCGATACTCACTAAAGGCCCAGGAAACAAAGAGAAGATGTGTAGGAACGAGACAAGTTTCAACATATGCTTGTCAATCATCTAATTTTATTAGAGACAGTCAAAGCTCAAGACTTGCGAATCAAGAGGACTTCACGGGTTGTAATGTAGGCTTAGGTAAAGGTAAGGATGTATATAGACAAGAATCTCAGATAAACAATCAAAGTTCTCGAGTAATAGACTACTCGAATGTCGGCTACTCATCTGAAATCAACCATATAGCACATTTACCATCCACTAAACAACTCCAAAAACAACACATATCTGCTCCAATTAAATTGCAACATCACTTGACCTAATTATTTTTTTTATTTTTATTTTACTTTATTTTTCTTTGGGGAGTAACTTTTTTTAAACAAGATCGAATCGAAAGGACAACATTCTGTAGGTGTGGACATTGGAGGTCATCCAAGTGGCCTACAGTAGTTTCCCAATGCTCATTACCCGTCAACATGAATC